GCAATGTACTCTGCTTCTGCTGTTGATGTAGAAATGGAGTTTTGTTTCTTACTGAACCAAGAAACAAGATTTCCACCAATGAATTGACAAGTACCAGATGTACTTTTCCGGTCAACTTTGCATCCGGCAAAGTCAGAATCTGAGTATCCCACTAACTCAAATGAATTGCTCTTAGCATACCACAAACCCATGTTCTGATTTCCTTTGAGGTATCTAAGAATCCTTTTAGCTGCTATCAGATGACTTTCCTTTGGCTTTGACTGGAATCTGGCACAAACACCTACTGCATATGAGATATCCGGACGGCTTGCAGTAAGGTAAAGTAGAGATCCGACAATTCCTTTGTAGAGAGTTTGATCTACATCCTTTCCATCTACATCCATATCAAGCTTGGTGGATGTTTTCATGGGGACAGAAACGAATGATTTCTGATCAACTTTGAACTTCTTGATAAGATCCCTTGTATACTTGGCTTGATTGATGAGAGTGCCTTCACTTCTCTATTTGATTTGATGGCCAAGGAAGTAGTTGAGTTCCCCCATCATGCTCATCTCAAATTTTCCTTGCGTGAGGGTTGAGAACTTGGTGCATAGATCTTCCTTAGTTGAGCCAAATATGATGTCGTCTACAATGATCTGAACTAATAGGAGATCTTCTCCATCTTGTAGTTTGAACAATGTCTTGTCAATTGCTCCTTTGGTAAATCCATTGTCTATAAGAAATTGAGACAATGTATCATACCAAGCTCTTGGTGCTTGTTTGAGTCCATACAGCGCCTTTTTGAGTCTATACACTTGATCTCTCTTAGTGTGTAACTCAAATCCTGGAGGTTGTTCCACATACACTTCTTCCTCTAGGTTTCCGTTGAGAAATGCGCTTTTGACGTCCATTTGATAGACCTTGAAGTCCTTATGAGCAGCAAAGGCTAGAAACAACCTTATAGCTTCAAGTCTAGCAACTGGAGCGAAGGTTTCATCAAAATCTATAACTTCTTCTTGACAATATCCTTTTGCAACTAACCGAGCCTTGTTTCTGACAACAACGCCATTTTCATCCATCTTGTTCCGGAAGACCCACTTTGTCCCAATGACATGTTGATGAGTAGGTCTGGGAACAAGTTTCCAGAGATCATTTCTGGAAAACTGGTTGAGTTCTTCTTGCATTGCATTGATCCAATCAGAATCAGCTAGAGCTTCTTCAATATTCTTTGGTTCTACTTGTGAGATGAAACAAGCAAGCATAGCTTCTAGATTCTGTTGGGCACTCCTTGTGCGAACACCAGATTGAATATCTCCGATGATCTGTTGAGGAGGATGAT